GCGACCTAGTAACTGATGTCCAGAGCGTACTTAAATTATGGACGGAACACTTTTCCGCCCTGCTAAATGGCAGCAGCACAGAAAGTTGTGGAGAAGAAGAACCCGAGCCCGCAGTCGATGATGACGGAGTCGACGTTCCACCGCCTGACTATGACGAGGTACGTATAGCAATAACGCGGCTGAAAAACAACAAAGCCGCTGGAGCTGACAGCCTGCCAGCTGAGCTATTCAAGTACGGCGGCGAGGAGTTGATAAGGTGCATGCATCAACTCTTGTGCAGAATATGGTCAGATGAACGCATGCCCGACGACTGGAATTTAAGTGTGCTCTGCCCAATCCACAAGAAAGGTGACCCCGCCATTCGCGCCAACTACCGCGGGATCAGCCTTCTAAGCATAGGTTACAAAGTCTTATCGAGCGTATTGTGTGAAAGACTGAAGCCCACCGTCAATAAACTGATTGGGCCTTATCAGTGTGGCTTTAGACCTGGCAAATCCACCATAGACCAGGTATTCACAATACGCCAAATCTTGGAAAAGACCCGCGAGAAAAGGATCGACACTCACCACCTATTTGTCGACTTTAAAGCCGCTTTTGACAGCACTAAAAGGAGTTGCCTATACGCCGCTATGTCTGAATTTGGCATCCCCTCAAAACTCATACGGCTGTGTAAAATGACGTTGAGCAATACCACCAGCTCCGTCAGAATTGGAAAAGACCTCTCCGAGCCGTTCGCCACAAAACGGGGTTTCAGACAGGGCGACTCCCTTTCATGTGACTTCTTTAATCTGATGTTGGAGAAGGTAATAAGAGCTGCAGAACTGAACCGCTCAGGAACAATTTACTACAAGAGCGTGCAATTGCTGGCTTATGCCGTTGACATCGACATCATCGGTAACAAAAACCGCGAAGTCTGTTCTGCCTTTTCCAAGTTGGATAGGGAAGCAAAGCGCATGGGTCTGGTGGTAAACGAGGACAAGACGAAGTATCTCCTGTCATCAAACAAACAGTCAGCACATTCGCGCCTTGGCACCCACGTCACTGTTGACAGTTACAATTTCGAGAAAGTAGAGAATTTCGTTTACTTGGGAACCAGCATTAACACCGATAATAATGTCAGCATTGAAATCCAACGTAGAATCACTCTTGCCAACAAGTGCTACTTTGGACTGAGTAGGCAATTCAGGAGTAAAGTCCTCTCTCGACGTACGAAAACCACGCTCTATAAGTCACTCATCATGCCCGTGCTGGTATATGGCGCAGAAGCATGGACAATGACAACATCCGATGAGGCGGCTCTTGGTGTGTTTGAGAGAAAGATTTTGCGGAAGATTTACGGTCCTTTACGCGTTGGCGACGGTGAGTACCGCAGACGATGGAACGATGAGCTGTATGAGTTTTACAACGATATGGACATAGTGCAGCGAATTAAAATACAGCGGCTCCGCTGGCTTGGTCATGTCGTTCGAATGGACACCGACGCTCCAGCTCTGAAAGTATTCAACTCGGAACCCGCTGGTGGTAGCAGAGGAAGAGGGAGGCCCCCACTGCGATGGAAAGATCAGGTGGAGAAGGACTTGGCTTCACTTGGCGTTTCCAATTGGCGTCAGTTGGCACAGAGGAGAAACGACTGGCGTGCTTTGCTGAACTCGGCCAAAATCGCTTAGGCGGTTACAGCGCCAAAAAAGAAGAAGAAGACATATGTACGTATTTATGTATATACAGATATTTGCACATGCTGCTTGGTATTATGTTGATGCGGTTAATTTGCAATTATCCAGCGGCTTAACTAATTAGCGTTAATTTACGATTAGTTCCAGGCAAAAATAAAACTGCCAACTGAAGGCAGAGCTACGACATTAACAATGAAATGCATCGTGCAGATGTATGTTTGCATGTGCTGCATATCAAAATTATCTGTAGGTGATGTGTGTCGAAAAAATGAAGTATGTAAGTAATGAAACCGACTTGAAAAAAAACTATACCAGCAACGGCATGGATGCTGCGATTTTATACCCCTTTAGTATACATAAGCTTTGTTTTTTCTTACCGGAATGTTTGGAATATATGCACATTAGTGTTCATCACCCTCATACAAAAAAAAAATTGTTATTGTTTTTACCAACAAAACTATAAAATTTAGGATAGTTTAAGAATTCAGGCGAAAATTTTTCAGAAAAATATTGAGATTTACGTGAGCTGAACCTATTTGAAAATACCTCAAAAAATCGAGTTTTTTATAAATAAAAACATTTTTGCTAAAAAATTACCTCAGAAGATAGAAAAGTTTAAGCTTAAAAGGTCTGCACAAAAATGTATTTTTCAAAATAATAAATTTTTTTTGAGATATTTTTAAATCGGTTTAGCTTACGTAAATCTCCGAATTTTATTCCCAAATATTTTGGCAGGTATTCAAGTATAATAAATTTTATAATTACGGTGGAAAACCCGCAAGTTTTTTTGTTGAAAATCTACCCTAATGCCATACACTACACAGAGAATAACAAGAAAGTATTTGGTTCAAGGCTCTGGCATATTGGAAGCGGTAAAAAGCGCAGCTCTGAACGGGCTTAGTACGATGTTTCACTGGCAACTGGAACAAATTGTCCTCAGACTTGCGGAAACTAGCAAATGGAACTAAACTTTACTTAGAAGACAGCACTGACCACATTACATTGTTTTGGTACTTCAGTATTACGATGCCAATAAGGTTTCAGGAAAAAGATGTTTTCGACGTAGGATGACAGATGAAGAAACCAATGCCTCCTCTTCGATGGAAAGGCCAAGTGGAGAAGAACTTGACTTCAATTGGTATTTCCATTTGGCGTCAGTTGGCACGAAGGAGAAGCGACTGGAATGCTTTGTTGAACTCGGCCAAACTCGCTTGGTGCCTACATAGCCAATGAAAAAGAAGTTCAGGCCTATTTTAGGATCATTTCGCGACTAAACTTATTTGAAAAAAAAGTAAGACAAACGCCACCAATTGGAGGGTAAGGTTGGCCAAAACCTTAGCAGAAAATATGATAGACCAATAGAGCTAAAAAGCTCTATCTCTTGCACTTTCACTCTTTGATCTTTAATAATAATTTCAAGAACTTTTTATAATCTACCTCTGAGGCAGCGTCTATTGAAAAGATCAGTACAAAAAGATATTCAGTAATTTTAATGCTTAGGATACTTAAAATTTTCTTTACTCTTTGACCGCAGCCGAAAACATCGTCATCCTTAGGTGCACATTTGCTTTAAAAAAATGTTTAAGTCAAGCCGTTTGTTGAACGTAATTATCAATGCTATTGTCTTCTTATTATTTATGTATGTCTTATTTGCTGGTTTATTGCTGTTGTTGCTATTGCTTGCAGCTGTCATTATTGCGGTAGTGAGTTTATTAACGCAACGAATTACGTTGCAGCACGAATAGCCGCGAATATCAAGTTGAAGGAGGCTTTGCCACACAACTAAGTATAAGCATGCATATGTATGTACATAACTGCACACATACATATGTACGTAAGTATCTTCTAGTTGTTGCTGCAGCATTGTATGTGCAGACTGATTGAGTTGCCACTAATGGTGGTGATTATGACTGGCATTAAATTGCATTTGTGAGTAATAGAATTTAGCTAAGCTGCTAGGTTTCAATATCAAGTTTGTGTCTTAAGTCTTTTGTTTGTTGTAGGGTTGGTTTGGCTTTGAACGCGATCGGGGCTTAATCTCACAAAAAAATACCATACATATTAGTGAAGTTAATAAAATGAAAAACCAATTTTCTAGATTTTGCAAAGCTAATAGCTTTTGCAGTCGCAAGCCACAACTTAATTTGCAAAAATTAATTAAAATTTTTTTTTGTGAATTAAGTTCAAACTCTACTAAACAAAAGAGAAATCTGCTTGCATACCGGCTACTTTTTTGCTTCAAAATTATTTTTTCATTTAACGCTACAAACTGCAGATAATTAATTGCACTAGTCATGTTGCAGGCATGCAAATCAAAAAAGTAAGAAACGAATTTAAAAAATCACAACAACAACAAAAACACACATCTAATTGAATTTGACATGCTCTATTATTTAGCAATTTGCAATTTGCATTGAATGCATTCAAATCAAACTATGAACACTGGGCCACCAAGTTTACATGCAGTTGCCGCCAGCGGCACAGCTCTCTCTCCCGCTCGCCATTATCATTGCCCACATCATCATTATCTGCATGTCAATTACTGTAATTGAAACCAGATGAACATTTTAATTTGCATTTTTGTATTTTATTTATACCTATAGCTGCTGCTGCTGCTTGAAATTCTTTTTGTTGTTGCAGTAATTTGATTGCTATAACCGCTGGTAGCTGTTTTGTTTCACTGGCCAGGTTTCGTGTATACAAACAAATTGCAAAACATGCTCTGAAGTGTGATAAATGTAATGATTTTCACATTTGCTTATTACAATCTTTTAATCCATTCAACTTTTGCATATACGAGTACATACATATGTACATAAATAGCATATGTACATACACACGTATATGTAAATAAACCAAGCGCGGTGAATATGAATCTTGTTAGCAGCAAAATTTTATTTGGGTCTAAGTAAATTTAAAGCTATTAAACAGCATGCAAGCTACTTAATCTTAGAGATCTTAAGCAAACGTTTTTGAACGCGAAAAAACGAAGAGGTAGGTAGGTAAGCAAGTAGAAGCCCATTATGATACACGAAAGTCTCCGGAAGAGGAGCAGAGTTTCCTGATTAAAAAATATCATATGAGGGTTAAGTCACATAAATTTTGAGAAAATTTCAGTTAGAGGGGTGCTACAGCTCTGAATACATGTATAGAATATGTGTAGTAGGAAAATGTTTCACCAAAACATCGGGAATATTAATAAGCTTTAGTTTCAAGAATATCGATTAGCATCGTGTATATATATACACAAGTATAAATTTAAAAAAGTTGCTACTATAAATCTGTGTACATTCGATACACACATGTGCTTCTTAATAAATTTCTTACCTGTATTCGCGCCTCAGTTAGACCAATTTTCATGGCTAGTTCCTCCCTGCAAATAAATACAAAAAAAAAGTATTTAATATTTATTTATGGTACATACGAGTATTTATAAAACAAGTTTTTTTTTTTGTTTTACAGAAAACATGTATACAAGTATTGATTCTAGTAATTGAAGAAAAAAGTCAACACAAATGTGAGAAAGGAAAGAAAAAAACAAAACAAATGCAAATATCTATGCAATCATTTAATTATTGATTATCATACAATTTATATGGTTAATTGAATAATGGACTGTTGAGACCAATTAAACAATAGAAATTTAATTAAAACTCGAACGAATACATTTACAACGAATGCAAGAAAAATATGAAAAAAAAATGATGAAAAAACAAGCTACTAATTGACAACCATAAAGCAAAATGAGAGCGCACAAGTTCAGCAGGAAATGGTAATATGGCAGTGGCAAGTTTCGAGTGGCAATTGCAATTATAGTATTGCAGGCTAGCACTTGCGCCGCGGGAATAAAAAAACAGCGAAACTTCAAAGTCGGCTAGAAACTTGTGAGAGCGATGGATAAGCAAAAAACAAAATATATGTACATATGTATGTGACCCACAAATAGTTCAATTAGCACACAAAGTAATAATATGTAAATAAAAACTGAAATAAAACTAAAACTACTCCGTGCGCATATGGCACACGATATCGCAGCTCTGCTTTTGTACTTTGCACGTTTGGTTATTGCAAAGCTTTACAAATTATAAAAATTTGTTTACACAAGTCGCCGATTAGATGATTAGATCGACAATGATTGTCTGTGGTAAAATGGTGGCGCTACACAAATGTTACAATTTATATATCGAAGGTTTATCTTCATCACGATCTATCTGCATTTTTCACCAAAATAGGATTCCTATATAAAATTTCACATTAGGCTTAACTGTCATCCGTGATGTCAATGCTGGCCCTGTAGGTCGCTTTTCAGAAGAACTGACTATTGAATTTCAAAGTTAAAATTGCAATCAATGATGACAGTTAAGTCTCAGATGGCTTCTCACATCAGCAAGTAGCTTTTGTGAAAACTGTACACAGATATAAGCCCCCTATATACTAGGCATATCTCAGATATTCTACAAGTCTTGCACAACCCTTGCAGGTTGTACGGATTACACGGTTTGCAAAGTTTTCCCATCGGAACCCCGATTATTTTTTATTTTCATTATTGAAATACCAAAATTACGGAGATGTCTCCAGTAGGCAGGAATATTTCAATGAAGAAAAGCTTGGTATTAAGTGACATTTTTGCAAAATCCAGTTTTCGATTTGATTACTTAGATGTCAGTATGCTACAGTTGATAGTCGAGTTTGATGATGTCGACTTAAATCAATGGACATCCACCTATTAAGGGGAGGTAAAGTATAGACTTCAAAAGGATGAACTCTTCTACGTTTAATCAATACAACTCCACTCAACTTATGGTTACAAAAAAACATTTACATATGGTCACCGTACCGATACCTCAGTATTCAGTAGTCAGGAAAGTTATTTGTTTAGCCCAAGGAAAGGGCTAACAGTAACTATAATTTGGTTAAAACGTTAAATGGGTAGTTGAATGTGTAGAGAGGATCTCTCTTATTTGTTCATCAAAGGAGATACATATATAAGAAGCTCCTAAAATTTGAAACAACATGTATGTGAAAGTGTTCGATATATTGATATGCTTCACATACCAAAAGACAAAATTCCATACAATAGACTACGAAGGGGTCGCGGGGCAACGCGGCACCATATCAATAATGATATAAGATATCATTTAAAATAAGAGGAAAGCTTTGGATCTTCCATTTTTTATTATTTGTCTACATAGTTTTCCTTTTAATATTAAATTGAATGGAGCACTTTTGTTATATTGATATGTAGTATAATCTAACAACTAGTAATTTTTAGCAAAAAAAAAACCGACTTCAACTCCCATATAAAAAAAAAAATATATATATATATATATCTCATGATCCGCTGATCGGATCTTAACGAGATTAGTATGGGACCACCTCTGAGACACTACCTTTCCGATGCAAAAAGAATTATCGGTTGACGCGGTCCAAAGTTATGCGGTAACATACATAAAAAAAAAAAAAAAATATTCCGACGAACTGATAAACTCCTCCTTTTTTGGAAGTCGGTTAAAAAGCAGAGCAATATCGCACGTCTACTTGCCAGACAACAAAAGACTTAAGCAACGAACCCAAATGACGCACTACTTGGCTTTCGCAAATCATAAAGGTAGTCGTGAGTGAAAATCGTAATTTGACGCAAAACAATATTGCATGGCACACCAATGTAGCTGCGCTTCGCAAAGCAAATAGCGATGCCAACAGATGAAAATGCATGTACGTATGTATGTAGGTATGCTAGCTCAAGCAAGTACATAGTTATGTGTGTAAGTATACAATAAACGATTCTATTAAAAGGCGATCTTGGGTCGCTTGGGCCAGAAGCCAGTTTTTGCGAGCGCAGCGCGTAGCATTGTAATATGATGAAGAAAACCATAACAGCAACAACAACAACACCAACAACTATCGTATTGGTAATGACGATAATTTGCTTAATGGATTTCTATGTTTTCTGTAATTGAATTTATTTTAATTAAATTTCAAATTTGCGTTGACTGGCGTGGCGACGGTGCCGGCGTGCGTTGGATACGGCAAAACGGCGGTAACTTTAGTTGCATTGTGACTTTTTTTCAGCGCAATTCTTTTTTTTTCCTATAATTTCTTATTTTCTGGCCAATTTTCTTCGTAAATTTTATTAATTTTGATGAGCTGTACAAGCGGAAAACTGACGCATTAACTGTTGTTTCAGCGCTTTAAATCGCCACAGCCAGCCGCGTAACCAAAGGATAATGGATGCTTTCGTTGTTGCACTGCTTTGGTCCGCCGGATGTTTGGTTGTTCGGGTGTCGTCGTTCAATTGTTGTGTGTGGCTTTTACACGGCATTACGTTGAGCGCTGCTGTGTTGCCGCCGGTCATAGCCGCCGTTATAGCCACAGCCATGGCTAGCGAATGGGCATAAGGTGTGTAATTTAATGCGCTCGCGCGAACATTAATTGATTATAATTTCGTCAGATCCGGTTGCGTGGCAGGGAACAACGTGTCGGTGGGTGAGTGCGAATGCCAGTGCAAGTGCGACGCGGATCGACAGCTTTGACGGCGGTTGATGGATGCAATAATTTGATGGCGGCGGCGTTGGCGTTGGCGTTGGCGTACGCACAGATGACGCGGCAGCATTGAAAAGGCGATTTCGTTGAGGTGGGAAGAAGCTGCTTTGCAACGCTCGTAAGTGGCTGGGATGCACTTATGCAAACACGCACGCACATACACACCCGTATGTATATGTTTCGCTTACTCACATTCGTGCATTGCCTGGCGAAGTTTTCGCTCGTCACGATCATTAGCAGGTGTTTGCTAGCGTCGTTAATAAATATTTTGACCGTCACACTCTGGCAGCCAAAGTTGCCACCTCACACTTTGCCACAATTGACCGTTTTTGCCTGTGTGTGGAAGTCAAGAAATCAATTTGCTTATGGGACTTTTCAAAAGGCTGGCGACAGGAGTGCGCAGGCCACCTTCTGGCGCAGCAAACAGCCTACCTTTATTGTTGCCCCCGGCTATTTCGCAATTTTACTTCCGCGTGCATTTCTTTTACACTCCTTCTTTTCCCAAATTTTCACCTTCTACTCATTCTTCTGTGTGCTTTTTTTTTTAGCCACTCTTCCATGTCGCTGAACAATTTAATATTGATTGCACGCAATTTGTCACTGGGTCAGCAAATTAATCACTGCACATGCGGCGGCTGCTGTTGGCCGCGTAAATTTACGAAATTTGAAAATAATTTGTGTGCAATTTTGTGTTAATCACGCAAATTAGCATTGCAATTACGCGTGTTTGGGTGGGTCAGCAATTTGTGGTAATTATATGTTATAATGGACACCTAAGTGGCGGTGTGTTTTTTTTTACAAAAAAAAACATGAACAAGTTTGGGTAAGCTTTGGAAAAGTTGCCGTGTTTCGTTTTCAGTAATCAGTTTTGACTTTCAGATGTAATGAAGTGCTTTTAATTAGAGTTAATAACTTGAATAGGTTGGGCATTTCAAACACTTTTATGCAATAAGTAGGCGATTCGCAACCAAACGCTTTGGGAGCCATACCCAAAAATACACAAAATTTGATTTGTAAACAAACTACTTAGAGCGATGGATACTAATTTTGACTGATTTTTCAGATAGTAAATGTTCGGCAAGTTGATTTTATGCTTTAATTGCAAGCATATTACGCGGTTTACATTAAGTGAGACTCAAGTTGCCGTTTGGGATGGAGGAACAACGCTTTTTCACTGAAGCATCAAACCCGCTCAGACTTTCAAGATGTGAGGGTGTCTGTAAAGCCAGTTTTTTTATTTAAGCTTTTGAAAGAGGGTAGGCGGATCGAATGTCATCCTTGAAGAGGTCCTAAAGCAATAGCAGATGTTGGAGTTATTATAAGGAAAAACGATGGGTGCTCAAAAAGAAGTTCTGGTGACTCAAGTAGCATACTGGTATATCACTTGGTGTGAATTTAGGAATTTTGGTAATCTGATTAATTGTAGCGAAATTCACATATTTATACCAAGTTATATACCAGTGTGCTACTTGAGGAAATACGGGTTGAGATGCTTAATTGGTAAAAGTTCTTAAAAAGGACGAAATCACGAAGCTGGGTCGGCTCAAGAGACGGATATCAGAGTAGATACTCCTTCCATATAAATACAAGTTTAAAGGCAGTATCACACGATTGGGTATTTGAAAAAGTTTGATGCAAATCCTTTCCGAATTAATTTGTTGAAATTTTTCAATAGAACACCGCTGTATTGTACCAACTTTTTTACTACATTTTTTACCAATAGCCCAATATAAAAATGTACAGATCTGTACAAATGCACTAATCGACTGCCATACAAATATTGTATTCTATCTATGTGTATTCTATCGAAAAAAATTGTTGACTCTCACAAAAAAAAACCATCTCATCATCTCGTCGTAAAAAAAAAATATTTTAATTTTATTAAAAACCTCCAATTTTTTTAAACATGTTTTTATAAAGAATTAAACAAGCAATACGATGGTATCATGTTATTTCCCGAATTTACTGGTCTTCACTATGCAAATCATCTTCAAAAAGTTCAACCGTTAATAGCTAAGTTAGCTTTGGGAAAATCTTGACCATCTTATATATAGAAATGTTTTGCCCGTTTCTTTAGCTTTAAAACGGCGTTAGGATGAAGTCTCTACGATGAGCAGAACCCGAGATATAACGATTTGATGAAGTAATGATTAGTCAGAAACACGAAAAAATTCAAACTTTGACAGATCATATCTCTGTAGAAAAACAATTAAAAAAAAATAAAAAAAATTCCTCGAACACGTGTTAGCTTATTTCATGTATAAAACCTATAAAAAAAATTTGAAGCCAATCGAAGATATGACACCAAATTTGGTGTCAGATATGAAAAAGAATGTCGAGAGTTTGAGACACCAGTGTTTTGTCAATGCCCCAGGATGGTACGGCACCAATATCTTTACCGAAAACATTCTGAAAATTTTTGTTCGCTGCGACTGAGTGCTGGTATCTTTATCGAAGATAATGGTAAAAAGTATCACTTTTCACTTGGTGAATGTGTCTCGGTATTCCAAGCCGAGGTATTCGCAACCCCCAAGGCCATGGACTACGTGGTGAAAAATAGGTAGAGATGCAGGACTAAATTATGTTTGAAAACACTGCGAAATTGTCTAACTCTGGGTGCCTGTTCACTTGGGAGAGCCTGGTAATGAGACATCTGACCATTTGGGGTAGAGAGGGCTCAAAGCCGGTAGTTTCGGCTCGCAACCAATTATAGCTTTCCGATATTTGGAAATCAAAGCCATATTGATAAACTGGATGAATATTTCGCTCAGCAATGACTGGAGGGGTTGGAGAGATGGCAAATGGACGAAACTCATATTGCCCTCAATCTCGGAGGTTGTGCTGAGTATTTCCTTTCATCAAACGAACGACTTATAGGACTGATATACAACCGCATTTGCCCTTCCTGCTATAGAGAAGTTGAAACGTCGAAGCACTTTTTGTATCTCAGCTCCGACTTTGCAAGGATTAGGTGTACAGTTTTTGGCAGTGATTTGTTGAGAGATGAACAACTGAGCTCTTTAGCATCCAGGATTAAAAAAAACATGAAAGCAGTACAATAGGTGGCATGTTAGGATACATACTTTCTTCTGCACGCGTCGTTTTGTGCATGTAGTTTCGTCAAAAAAATCGTTTGCTAAGAAGAACTTTACAACTCTGCATGCCGGGGGTTTCGTTAAGCGTTGAGAGAGGACAGCTGACTATAAGACTATTTGACTAGCCGTAATCCATAGGCTGTGACAGAAACTCTGATGGTCCAACTTTTGAACGAAGTGTAAGGCGTTCATCGCTGGAAACTGCCAAAGATAGTCAAACTCATTTGTAGTTTAAAAAAGATTGTAAACTGTGCAATTCTTTATATACCCGCTTGGCTGACGCAAACAGGTCTAAAACTGGCACACAAAAATATTTTATTAAAAGTTTTAATGTGTGGCTATTAAGTAACTGGCTATCGCTGTTTTTTGTATAAATTTATGCATCATTCCATAAATTTCGCCTGATTTAGAAGATCTTCTTCACAGATACACCTACACACTCCAGCTGCTGTCTGCGTAATTCTCAGCATTAATGATTTAGTTGTTAAACAGTAATACAAAAAAAAAAGTTGTTTGTCGTCGTTGTTCGCTTGATTGCCGGATTATATTTATTTGCTTTTTCACTTTTTTTTTACTGCAAGCTAACGAGAAATACTACAAATGATTAACATAAAAATGCATAAATAGCCGAAAATTGGATTTCAGTTTTTGTTTATTACTCGTTCACTTCATTGCCAATGCAACACCTACTGTCCGCTGCCCTTTCCCCTTCTCGCAACCGTTAGTCGCTGCTAACCTTTCTTGTTTGCTTGTGTTTAATTTCATAGTCGATTTTATTAATTAAAAATACATTGTCGTATACATTGGGTGCTCTTTAACTTCCCCTCTGTATTCATCTACCGTTTTTTGGGCAGTTCTATGGGTATATTGTTTTGTTTTTTGTTGTTTTTTTTTGTTTTGTGTTAAATCGTTTTTATACTTAATTTAGAGAACACCACTTTTTCGGTCGTTTGACTCAGCGCGGATTTCTTAATGAAATGTGTAGGAAGGCATGAAATTGAAATATTTATAAACTCTTTTAATTTGAAGCTTGTTTTTTTTTTGTTTTTTTTATTGCTTCTTTTTTGTGCTTTGTAGATATGTATGTATCTGTGAAATAAAATCAACTGCCAGCTATCAACAATACTGATCGCGTACAGATTATCTTATTGGTGCGAAGATTTGACTGCTTAAGGTATCTGCTGCCGGCCGTAATCGGTTTCCTTTTCCAATAAGTGTTGTTGTTTTTACTTTTTGTGCATTGTTATCTGTTGTGGTTGTGGCAGTGGATTGTTGTTAAAATTTTTTTGTCATTTTAATGTGATAACACGGCTTGGGCACTTGTAATTGTGAACTGGGTCAAAACAAATGTAGTATTAAATGAAAAAATACAACAACCAACACAGAAGTGACATTTTTATGTATTTTAATTCACTTAATTATGTTTACATACATTTTGGTACACCATTTAAAAATTTTTGATTTCACAGGTTTTTTGTTCAAATAACATGAAATCAAAATTTATTGCACTTTTCCATTTTTGAAACATTTGTTATTCAAACAAATGGGAAATGCGTAGTGCTAACGAATTTGAACTTAATCGTTCTACATTAGAGACAAGTTCTACTTTCATTAAGGCAATTTTTATACCTAATGAACTAACTCGACAAGGTAATGTAGTGATGAATAAAATATTCAATGTTGCATATTCCTAAAATTTACAAATTTTGTGCTTGAGTTGTTTTCTTGGATTCTTTTCGAGAGTGTATCAATATTTCGTTACTCTCTTTAATTTTTTTGCCAATTAATTATCACTGGACATTTTACCGATCAGTACTCGCTTTCGTGATGTTTTTGTGATTGCAAATTTAATTCTTTACAAAAAATGTCAAAATACTAAATTATGTAGGACTAAAACCACCGAATATAATTGCCATTTTATTAAAAAAAAACCTAATTAAATAAAGTTGTCAAATTTTATTTTAATTTTTTTTTAGTGTTTATTAATCGGTGGAAATTATTTATAAATTACTGAGTATACAAGAAAAAGAAGTCATTTTTTTCAATATTATGGATAAAATCAAATTTTGAGTCTTTTTGGCCAAAAACGCTATTATATTAAATATACAGTATTTTTGTCGTATTTAGTTCCATATAACGAATAAACGTAATTTATTTTTATATGGAAGAAACCCGCAACACCTTCTGCGAAAAAAATTCTAAAAAATCGACGGTTATTTTTGGCCACTTGAAACTTGCACATTGTTAAACTAAAATTTAATAGGCTATAAAATCGTATACTTAAAAAAATTCTAACACTTCTTAGAAAAAAGTTTGAAATTTTAGTGAAAATTTGTTGATTTTTTTTGTAGTTGTCTACAAAGTTTTAAACTTGGGTTTATATAGGGTTTCTTAGAGAATGAACTATATTTTAATCGAAAATTCTTAAAAATATATATCACTTTGAAATGGGGGTGCTATTGTGTGGGCCAATACTGTATGTAATAGGACTAGATCATTTTCGCTGCTACACAGTGTAATACGTAATTTATATTTTTCACATTTCCATTATACACTAGTAGCTCGCTAATAATCAATTGGGTATAATCAGTTCAGTTCCTTAATTGTGATGTACTTTTCTTTTAATGCTTCGCTAATAGCTGCTGTCAATACATATATTTAAGCAATTAAGCAATCATTAGGAACTGGTTTCAAATTATCGCAATTCCATTAAGCAAATATAAATTAATTAATTTAATGCGCTCCAAATTGGTTCAACTACCATTTTCAAGAGGTTTATAAATTGGATGTGCTAAATTTATCGGTGACTCGGTGCAAGTTGTAGAAATCACTGAAATTTGTGACAATATTTGATTTTTGATGAAAAAGAGATTTGGTAAAAATAAGTACAAAATTCTATTTCAAAGATTTTCAAATTCCAAATAGCACATATTTAGATTCAAAAAAATCTTGAATTTGAAATTTCAATTTCTCACAATTGTAACCTGCTCTTTTAACATTAAAGTGAGTGTCATCACTCCCGATATCTGGACTAAGCCGCTTCAAGTATAATACGATCTTCGTTTCGAAAATTTAATAACAACACAAAGTTTTTCATCTAACTCACCTCGTAAAGACATCCGGGTAGTGCGTTCGTGAAAACGCCTTCTCCAACTCCTCCAATTGAAAGCTGGTAAATGTAGTGCGATAGCGACGCTGCTTACGTTTCGGTGCATAATCATCTAGTTCACCATCGCTATTCGCATCCGAAATGGGACTATTCGTGCCGCCACTAGCACCGGTGGTCACAATGCAGGAGGCCGAACGATCAGGCATGGCATCCTGATGTGCTAATTTGACTTCTTGCGGTAGGTCGTCCAGCTTGACTACCTCGGATATGCACATAATCCAGATGGGCGGAATGGTGAGACCGTTAATGGGCGTGCGGGTCGTGAGTGCAATGGAAATTAAGTTTGTCTTCTAACACGCTGCGTTTAAAGGTTTCTTAGATCACAGCAGAAGGAATTTTTTTTTTGCTTGTTTTCATATCCTGCCGCTGTCGCTGTTTTATTCAAAGTCTGCAAAGAGAAATTGAAAACAATTATTTTAGATAATGAGTTACATACACACTAAGGTGCTTTTGTACATTTGCTCTTGATTTTGTGGAAACAATTTAGAGTCTGAATTTCTCGTAAACGTGCATTTATGCCGAGCATCCGCTTGATACTGCGCTGCTGAGATTGAATGCGAAATGGAGCTCATCACCATAAATAAGTTGCATTTCAGCGGAAACGTGTGGACATAACATAGCTACAACTTAATTGAAAATCCATTCGCCTTATTGATGCTTAAGTGCGCAGGCGCGCAGCTATGCACGCGCTTACATACATATATGTATGTTAGCCGCGCGCTCTTAGAACCTAAGCTATTGCTGTGGTTTCTGCTGTTTCCACGGTTTTGGCCATTGGACATTGGCCAACAACTTAATTAGTTCACTAATTCATGACAAGTGAAGAGGCATCAACTAATTTGTAGCGAGGCACTTGGTCGACGCACTTCACTTTACAAGCAAATTCACGGCATTGGTCACGCTTGCCAATTGCATACATAAGTACACTAATACCACAACATGCGTATCGACCTTCATATGTACATACGTGCATCCATAAAATCATTCATACAGGTGCACCAAGCTAAAAACGTTTGCGTAGGTACAAGCGAAAGTGAAACGCAAGGCTTGCGCATGCGCAGCTGCTGTCTATTTTTTTTAACCGACTTCCAAAAAAGGAGGAGGTTATCAGTTCGTCGGAATATTTTTTTTTTTTTTTTGTTTTTTGTGTATGTTACCGCATAACTATGGACCACGTCAACCGATTTCGATAATTCTTTTGGCATCGGAAAGGTAGTGTCTCAGAGGTGGTCCCATACTAATGTGGTTAAGATCGGATCATGAGATATATATATATATATTTTTTTTTATAAGGGAGTTGAAGTCGGTTTTTTTTTTGCTAAAAATTACTAGTTTGTTTTTAAGTTTCATTGCTTTGACTTTGTATTTTCGCGCATACATTTGCTCGCAAGTACACACTTGCATTTGCTTTGACTGCCTCGTCGAGTGATCAATTGCACTTGTCCTTTATTCGGCTTTTTTTTGTCTTGACTGTAGCCAAATAAGGACATTTCACCCATTGCTATTTTAAGGGAAAATTAAAGATGCGTGTGGAAAATACCAAAAGCGACAAATGAAATTCCAGCTAAAATGGCTGGTAGGTGGAAAAAGCCAGCTGAGTTTTTGTCGTTGTGCTTCAGGTGAAGGCGGTGAAGGTGGCAAGATAGACCATTGCCGATTTGGTAGTGGACCGACTATAGAATATATTAAATTAACGCAATTGCTGCTGCGTCTGCGGACGTGCACAGTGGGCTAATTGGAATTGAGTAAACTTTGACTGCACGTTCCTGTAAGAGTAAACATTTTTCATTGCTTCTTTATTACAGGTATGCCATGCATTTGTTTAGAGATGTATAGAAAGTCGAATGTCCGAAAGATTATTATTTGGTTAAAAGAATTTAGAAGCAATTTTTTTTTAATATTTTAAAATCGGGTACAGCAGAAAAATAAGTATATATTTGGTCTTGTACTCTAGCAATTCGGAACATTTTCATACTCCATTCGTTTTCAAAACTGTGGCCAATCTTTTTTTAATTCTTCATTTAACTATTTTTTTTTTGGAAATTATGAACCGAGTTCGGAATTTTTTTGAAAATATTAAGAACGGATTTACCAGTTTGGATCTGACGTTTAAAATATTGTCTCAGACAGTAGGCAAGTCGCAAGAGGGTGTGTTACGATGCTCTGGATAACCAGCTATGGGGGCGGTAATATTCAGTTCCTACTCTCACGACGGCTTCACACACCTTAGGGTAAGTTCCCAGAGGAGTGGCGCTTTCAAACTGCTGTAGCTATATGGAAGTGTATATACGGCAATCTTTTCCAGAAGCGTTTTGGAGCTGAAAGCAAGGAAGTTTTTGATTTTGAACTTTTTATTTCATTTTTCAGCTTCATAACTCTGCTGCAAGAAATTCGTCCAAATATGCAAATAAAAACGAATTTTTCAACTAATCCTTTGAATAAAAATAAAAGTTGGCATCGTTATAGTTAGTCTGAGTAACCCTTAGTGAGACGCACCGTGAATTACTTTGGTCGCTCCCCCAATTACGATTGCGAATTACCCTATTTCCACGGGCACATTCTTAATTCGATTTGACAGTTTTCTGTCTCTGTCTCTGCGTTTTTTTCTCTTCGGTACAAAATTGATGCAAAATGTAAGTTACTGCTAAAAATATGTAAATTAATGTATTAAATTAGAGATGTACATATTTATTAACTTTACCAGTTTTGATTTGTGAAAGGTTTCGATAAATTTCCGGCTAAAATTAGAGACGGCAGCCATTTGTTCGTGATTCGCATGGTAATTGGATCTGAATTACCAAAAAATGAGGTAATTCGCTCTCAAAATTTTATATGTCGAATTACATAATTTGAAGGGTAGTTGGAGTGCGAATTACAAATGAGAGAGCGAACTATATATGTGATTGGGGTGCCGTGGAAAAGCCGTATTAGGGTTACGGATGCTTTCAATGGTTCGATACGCTCCGCTGCGCCTCTCTCGGAGCGACCGGATGCAAAATACGGACATATACGGCGTACTACTGTAGGTAGACGGAACTGAAGCACACGAGCTACGGAGCTTTTCGTGAGAATTACGAAAATAAGTAAGAAAATTAAAGGATCTACTCTTGATTACCGTAAGGGTAATTAAGAGTGCGTGAGCCACGGAAACATAAAAGTCTTAAAGAAATTGTTGAGTTGATTCCAAAGAGCTGCGTTAGCATACATATTTACATACATTAATCGGGTGAGATTCATAAACTCAATACGTGTAATCCAATCGTATAGTGGCCTGCCAATATTTACACCAATGCCAAGAACTACATACATACAATTTTGTGAAGCTGTTATAGAAAAACCTTGTTTTCACACTGTCTATGCGTCTTGGAGCCTCCCATAGGCAGTTAAAGCTGCTACCATTCTCCCCTTGTTCAGTAAGATCGCCCCGCGGACACCGAGACAGTTCGCTGGTGGGGCCGAAAATGGATACAAGGCGGCGGGGTTATTGAATTGATATCTACTGGATTAATGGGTAAGTAAGTCTCTCTTTGAATGTCGTGATTTTAAAAAAGCATTATTTTTCCTCAAGAGGTGTGATATAGTGTGGCAGTTTGGACAATAATACGACAATGTTCTTCAACATGATTGTAGTTATTCTGGTAACGCTATGTACCGTAATGGTCTCTGCGAAGCCACGCAACGGCTAGGCGGCCCAACCCAGCCTAACCTTTGATGAAATGCGTTTGGACTTTTGGTTGTTAAAATGTAAACTTTGGTAGCTAACCGTTTTCTTAACAAAGTTCTGATTTTGTTTGTTAGCTAGAAATGTGATGTATTTTGGAACGAATATCAGTATTCTCTTCAGAAATCGGGTTAAAAAGGCCCGTAAAGCATACTCAGTTTAATTCCCTAGGAATAAGCTTCGGTGCCACTTGGAAAAGGCATTAACATGACATAATGTCCTGATGTCTAAAACAAAAAACAAGTTATCGTCTAGCCAAAATTTTGCTTTTTTAGCCATAAATGGACTAAGTACCGACTATGCCTGCAGGCAGTAATAAAATAATGAATGCTCTTTTTGCTCAGATGTTACTAAAAATAAGTAAATAATTGAACTGAGGAGAGAGGGGGTTTCTCAAATCCAGTTACAGTTATTAACATGTTGACTCATTCTACGAATTTGGTCTGGGAAACCTTTTTCAGGGCCCTAAATGTAATCTACTTCTCACTCACACACAGCGTGAGAGCACTGTGCATATTTACGAACATTTGGAACTGCTGCACATGCGCATACAACTATGCACTTGCCTAGCATATAAATTCGTTGAATAGTTAGTCAAGCGGAACTTCAGGCGAGCAGACAGACAACGCAGCGCAGACAGTTGGCGCGTGCAACTACGACTATTGTGGCATCTGTCGATGTTTTGCTTAGTGCTTATGCAATTCTTTGGCTTTTATGTAGTTTTGGTGTAGTACTTCTTACATTTTTTTTTCGGCCGGTCTGTCTGTCTGTCTGCCTGAGCTGACATAGTGTGTCAGCTGTAAAGGTAATTAACTTGTTGCGATAATTGCCCAGCATTTGCACTTTTGGCACAACTATTGCTGCTGCTCTGTCACACACAAGCGAGCCCAGAGTGTGGAGCAACGAGCTCGAGGTGGTGGCGGTAGTGGTGCTGGAGCTTCTGTTGCTGCTGTAAATGTAATTGTAGCGACAACATTTGCTCATTGCGTGCGCAATAAATTAAAAAATGCGTTCATCGAGCATCGACTACCTCATATGCTTATGTAATACACGAAGAAGAGACGCGCAATAAAAAAAATAAAAAAATAAAAATGTGGAATAGAAAAATTGCATTAAAATATATTTTATAAAATTTAACTGCAAACTGTGTGCAAAAACTCGACGTTTAAATGATTTCCGACGGCGCGCATGCGCCCTATGCGCATAGGCTTTCTAAAATTCAGTTTCTTGCTGTTTGTTGTGTTGCTGCATGGAGCGCATAATTAAACAGAGAAGAAAAATGCAAAGCTGTTGCTGCATAAATTTAACAAATTTATACAACAGCACAGCCCACTTAGTGGCGTACTCAGCTGTCGACGCTCTCTTCGGTCTGCGCTCTTCTGCCAGCAGCAGCATGGAATTGGTTTTTGTTTTTTTTTGGCTGCCGCCTGCCGACAAAGCCTACAAGTGTCTTGTGGCTGTGTTGCATCTCGGTCAGTAACACGGTAGCTTTGCTCTTAATTACTGTCGGAATGTGCCACCGTTATTGGTTGCCAATGGCTGGTTTCTGGTAGCTGCAATATTTTTATTGCCCCTCGAATTGGCATTCTGGTGGCTGTTTGGTTTGCATTTTGCAATTTTTGTAATGAATATGCATAGCAATGCGTATTTATATTTTATTGCAGTGC